GTAGGCGGTCGTCTAGGCCCCGACTAGGCGCTAGGCTTTTATGCGACGCCTAAATAACCGCCTTGACCGCCTAAAATTACACAGATCTTGTTTAATGTATTATTTCAATATTAATTAGAGTTTTATTTATACATATAGTTATAAATATTCATATATTATTTAATATAAATATAAATAAATGTTTTATCTAATTTTTGTTTATAATTTCATAATTTTTAGTTTTATATAGATATTTTATATAACTTTTATATATAATATCATATTTATAATATTTTATGTTATAAACGTCTAAACCGCCTAAAAAATCGCCTAGGCCCGATTAGGCGTTCTAGGCGCTAGGCATTGGGTCACCGCCCGCTTAGCGCCTAGCGCTTTCTTGAACAATGACTATAATATAAATTTTCTTGAATTGTTGGAATCTTGTATACCTTTTTCCCCCAATATCAATATGTATTACATTTCGTTTTGTAATTTGGTTAAATGAGAAAAGGATGTCAATTTCATTAGCATAAATAGAAAATAAAGCTATAACCCCACAAACAAAGGGGAAAACTTTTTTTTTACAAAGTTAACTTTTTCAATGCGTTGAGAAATGGCAATAAAAGCTAGAGAATTTGTGGAGTGAAATTGGCTAATAAAAAAATATTGATTTTCTACTTGTATTTTATATAACAAAACAAATTGATTCACTTTCTGTATTCAAATAAAGTGGATTTCTTTTCTAATGTATCAAAATCTTTTTATTGTAAGTTGCAAGTTGCAACTATGACACCTTTACCACATTGTTTGAGCTTTTTCAGTTTTATTTCTAATTGGTTTTAACTTTTATATAAGAAAGAAAAGTCGAAAAAGGTAAAACAAAAAAATAAAATCGAAAATAGTGAAATCAGCTAACGAAATATATTTCAAACAAAAATAAGCCTTGTTTAGGCTGATTTAATAGAATTTTCGTTATTGGGCCGACTAAGGCCTATAACGGGAAATTAAATCATTACCAAAACAAACCGAAACCGTAGCAACCGGTTAGTTCCGGTAAAGTCATAAGCGATTCAACATTTAAGAAAGACAAAAACACTCCACAGATTAAAAAATGATCAAATCCTTATTACAACACATTCAAACGTTTGTCTATGTACAAAACATGCTCCTGCAAAATTCAAGCTGTACAAGAAAACACAACAATGGCGTCTCACAATCACAATGTTCTTCAGGGTTCAGGAGACATCGGGGGTAGTGGCGGAGACGGAGAAGTCGGAGTCTGAGGTTGCTGCTTATCTTGTGAATCAGTGGAAGATTCTTTCTTGTGTGAGAAACTTAAGCTTTTCCTCCTAACAAGAAGATCACCAAATCTACGTATAAACGCCTTCTTCTTCCTTGCTACTGCTCCTTTGTCGTTTAACTCTCCTTCTTCTAAATGATTCCCATCCAAATTCTCCAAATCCTCTGGATTTATTGTCCCTACTTCTTCCAAAAACGTACACGATGACCTCCTTTTGTGATGCATTTGCGCATGTGGCGTCTCTGCTACATCAAAAATCGAACCTTTGAATAGATAAGAATCTGAACTTGGAGAGTTTCCTTCACCACTTTCATCACTGTGCTCTTGATGATAATGATTCCCACCGTTTGCGTTTTTTGTCTCTTCCTCTAATGTTTCTTTGTTGTGCTTGTGGTTGTGATTGTGATGAGCAAGCTTCATGATACTGAAACTACAAGTTTTCCCAATCATCTTCTTATCGATGTTCTGATGTGTCTGCTCTTTCTTCTCCTTCTCTTCCTTCTTCTCGCTATGTTCTTTCTTCTCCTTCTTGCTCTCTTTCTTCTCCTTCTTGTTCTCTTTCTTCTCTTCCTTCTTCTCCTTCTCTTCAATCTTCTTCTCAACAACTTGTACATCTTTCGGCATCGACTCTTGTCTGCTTAAGCTTCTCTGTTTCTCTTCCTCCATAGCTACCTCTATTTCAGACAACAACTTCTTCAACTTCTTAACATTGTCATTAGCCACAGCTTCATTAACCTTCACTCTCTCAATCTCCTTCAAAGCAAACTGCAATTCCTCTTCCTTATCCAACAAGGCATCTTTCAAATTCGAATTCTCAGCTCTCGCTGTACCCGCTGCTTCTTTCGCAACATTAGCTTCGTTAATCGCTTGTTTAAGTATATCTCTAACCTTATGGTTCTCTTCTTTAGCCTTCTTGCTCAAATTCTCAGCAGCAACAAGAGCTTCAAGCAACCTATTGTTCTCATCAAGAAGTGAATTCTTCTCATCTTCTCCTCTCTTTATACAACTCACAAACACAGATTCTTTCCCATTCCAAGCCAAAAGTGAATCCTCTGCTTCAATCCTTAGTCTCTCACTCGTGTTCTTAAGCAATTCAGCTTCTTTCCTCACTTCCTCGTACTTCTCCTTCCATTGCTGAGACTCTAACCTAGCAGCCTCGAGCTCTGTTTCTGCAATCACAAGCTTCTCTTTCGTTTGGCTACAATCAGTAGCTACCTCTTTCAAAGCCAATGCCAAATCATCCATAGCTTTCTCGCTCGTCATCTCTGCATCAGTCGCTGATTTAAGCTCGCTCTTAACCGATTTCATCTCTTCTAACAATTCAGAAACCTTTAAAGAAGAAGCTTGTGCAGCCTCATGAGCCTGTGCGAGAGACTCCTTTGTTGATTCCATCTCAATCTTCATAGACTCAATATCAAAATCCTGAACAGAGCTATCGTCTTCTTCTTCGTCTTCCTCGCTCGAATCTTGGCTATTGTAAGATGTCTCTATCTTCTCTTTTAATGAAGCGATCTCTACCTTCGATTCTTCTACCAAAGCCTTGGTTTCCTCTAACTCTCTCGATTGATCTTTAAACGAATCAAGAAGTTTCTTCTCTGAAGCTTCAAGATTCTTGATGAAGATGTCTTTCTTCAATAACTCGGCTTTTAAAGAAACGACTTCGTTTTCTCTGTTCTCAAGGGAAGCTTTCATCTTGTAAAGCTCTGTATCAATATCCGCAACTTTGTTAGAAGAATACCTCGGAGAAGCTACATCAATGGACGGTTTCTCATCTACTTCTCCCATTGATGATGAATGTTTTTTATTCAGAGTTTTCTGAGAGAATTCAGAAACAAAAATAAAAGACGAATTTTGGGTAATGGGTTTAGATTGACTAAGAATATATTTAAGAGGTTGACAAAAAGGGAAAAAAATCTATTGGTCAAATAAAGAAAATTTGATTCAATGCTTTTTTGGAGGATCTTAATTTCCATATTTTTAGGGGAAGTTTTATCGAGAACCGTCTATTTTATCGTCTGATATTATTAATTCCTTTGGTCAAGTCCCAAATCTGATTTTTCGAAAAGAATTAAACAAATCCATAATTGTAGAAAAAAAATCAGCCATCAAAAGACCTTTAAAGAGAAAGCAATGGTGACAAACAAACGAGTTAAGGAAACATAAGAATTTAACAAAGAAGTTAAAAAGAGTTTTGCAACACACATAATAAGCATAAAGAACATAACATTCTTAGATTGCAGACTTCTTACTACTACATACCCAGAGATTTAAAAACACAGCAATTAAGATCTTGCTTTCATAAACGAAAAAAAAAAAAAAAAACTAGTGACCAATCTTGAACCAAATCTCGGTTTCTTGGTTGGCTTAAGCGCGTTCACCTCTGATACGACGAGCGAGCTGAATATCCTTAGGCATGATAGTGACACGCTTGGCATGAATGGCACAAAGGTTAGTGTCTTCAAAGAGACCAACAAGATATGCTTCAGCAGCTTCCTGGAGAGCTAAGACAGCATGGCTCTGGAAACGCAAATCAGTCTTGAAATCTTGAGCAATCTCACGGACTAGCCTCTGAAATGGCAGCTTCCTGATCAGCAACTCAGTACTCTTCTGGTACTTACGGATTTCACTGGACACCAAAAAGATGAAGATTTTTTAACACACAATGTTACATGAACTAAAAGACAATGCGAAGAATCAAAGATAGGACAAACCGGAGAGCGACAGTTCCAGGACGGTAACGATGTGGCTTCTTGACTCCACCAGTGGTTGGTGCAGATTTACGAGCAGCCTGAGTTTAATATAGAACAAGATCAAAACTCAATTTCACAACCAAAAGCATTATTTGAGCACACAGCGACACAAAAGAGAGAAGAGGGAACAAGAACCTTAGTAGCAAGTTGCTTCCTTGGAGCTTTTCCTCCGGTGGACTTACGAGCGGTTTGCTTGGTACGAGCCATCTGCTCATTTAACAAGAATTTAAGCAGTCAATTGGGGATTTTCATAATTCGTAACTAAATGATGAAGAAATTGGAATACTATACGTCAGCACTTAAAACCCTAATACAGATGAATCGTTATCAAGCAAGATATCGCAAAAGGGGCAAAATTGACTCACAAACCCTAATTCTCAAAACTCGGCTACACAATGAAAATCGCACACCAACAAATCGACAATACAGAGCCTCGAAGCTAAGAAACAAACGAACGCTAAAGAATAATGGATCATCCAACAAAACGACCAAACACGATCCAGCAAATTTAAAAGACAGGACTTTATTTTTCAAACTCGAATGGGACAAAACACAAAACTCAATTGTCGTGAAAATCAGATCGCAGAGACAGTAACAAAAGTTAAATGGAAAGACCTAAACCCCAAATCATACCTCTTGTTCGCTTGAGCTGACTTTTGCCTTTTATTTTTTTTTGTCTTTCGTAACAAAAGGAGTAATAGCGGATGATTGAACTACTGGTTGTGGCCGCAATGTGGTTGAATGGTTTATTTATAATACACACGAAAGGGTTATCACGATACGCTCCTTTGTGCTTTCTTACATTCTTCATCCGACGGTTAAAACCTTTGCACATTGTGTTTTCTCAACACAACCCAACGGCTACGATTGAAGATTTTAAGTGTCACGCGGATTACCAACTTCGTGAATGTGAAAGTTGCTGATATTGTATGATCCATTACTTTGATATCGAAACGCAAAAGCTTATTTTCAAACAACAAAATCAATCATATTAAATTGAACAGGATCAGACGAAACAAAAGTCAGAAACTTTAACATACTAATCTGTTTCAGAGATGAAATTCAACAACAAAAGGTGTTTGACATTGCCAAACAAGAAAGCAATACACACCACAAAACGTAGCTAAAAGAAGAACACACACAAATCATAAACCGACTAGACAAGAAATAGAGAAAAAAAACCAACCACCATTGTTTTCAGTCTCCTACAACAAAAAGCTTTTTAAGCCATTATCTAATCCCAACTATCTATTTAGAAAAAACCCACATTCACATAATCCGACCACCAGCTTCCCCCATCACACTTAAGCACGTTCTCCTCTGATTCTGCGAGCGAGTTGAATGTCTTTCGGCATTATGGTGACACGCTTGGCATGAATGGCACAGAGGTTAGTGTCCTCAAAGAGACCCACAAGGTACGCTTCAGCAGCCTCCTGGAGTGCAAGCACCGCATGGCTCTGGAAACGCAGATCAGTCTGCAATCAAAGTGACAAGATAAGCACGCAAGGTTAACCTATTTGTAGACTGGATCAAACATACCTTGAAATCCTGGGCAATCTCACGAACAAGTCTCTGGAATGGGAGCTTCCTGATCAGCAACTCAGTACTCTTCTGGTACTTACGGATTTCACTGTCAATCAAAAACAAGAAAACAAAGAAACAGAGTTTTGTCAATTGAGGTATCAATCAAGTAAAACCCATCTATATTTGTTGAAAAACAGAATGCATACCGAAGTGCAACAGTTCCAGGCCTGTAACGATGGGGCTTCTTGACTCCTCCAGTGGTTGGCGCAGACTTACGTGCAGCCTAAAAAAGAAACATCCACCAATTAGAACAAATCCAGAGATGTGTTCACCAAGCAAACCAGATCACATGGGAGAGTCTTAGTCTTACCTTTGTAGCAAGCTGCTTCCTAGGAGCCTTTCCTCCGGTAGATTTACGAGCTGTTTGCTTAGTACGAGCCATCTGTTAATTAAATTAACAAATTTAAGATCTATGAGTATTCAATTGCATTAATGTATCATAACAACAACAAAAAACCAAAGAAAATCTCCAATTGCAATCGCCTAATCAAGAAAGTCGAAACCCTAATCGACAAAACGCCGAATACGAATAATCTATTTACACCGGTGAAAAGTATCAAGAAATTCAAAGATTCGGGACAAAAAAAACAATCTGATACTGAAATCTAGCGAACGATTCATCTCTAACCTAAAACCTAAATCCAAAGGATCATTCGGCGAAGAAACTAGATAATGACCAAGAATAGAAACTAATCTCGCCTAATTTCATACCACCTAACGAACGATTCCAGTAGCTTAACGATCGAACGAAAGAAATTTTCCAGGAAAATTGAAGAATCGTACCTCAGAAAACTCTCTAGCTTCTCCGAATTCAAATTTGAGCTCCGATCTCGGAAAAAGATATTAATGACAACCTCCACGCGTGTATGACTCTTGATATTAATTTATAGGCAACGATGGTAAAGCGGATTTATAATCGGACGGTTATTATCGCTCATCATTGTGTTTCTCATGTTTTCTAATCGTACGGGTAAAAGTTCAACAACATGTGCTTTCTTGCACCCAGTCAACGGTCCAGATCTAGCTCCACAGGTTTGACGAGGATCGCCACTGCTACATTACTCGATTGCTATTGGCTAAATACAGAACGTCGCGGATCGCAGTAATGAACCGTTCGGATTTAATTCAGGCCGACACTTAAATTAATGGGCTTACAGATAAGGCCCATTACATTACAAAATCCGACTGGTGCGTTACGTACGGTACATTAAATTGGTTGCATTAGTCAAACTCTCCGGTTTAATACTTAACCGGAATTTCGGAGTCTTCGTCATCTACTTCTTCTTCCCCAAATCCACTTCATCGAGAAGAAACCAGATTTTTACAGAGATTCAAAATCGTCTCCATTTTCCAGGTATAGATTCTCCGATGAGATCGATCTGTGCGATTCAAATTTTGTTATATCTGGATTCAATTCGAAGGGATCTATATCGTAATTTTGTTCTTTTTTTTTTTTTTTTTTTTTCAGATATGGATTGGCAAGGACAGAAATTGGCGGAGCAGTTAATGCAGATCTTGCTTTTGATCGCCGCCGTTGTGGCGTTCGTAGTTGGTTACGCAACGGCGTCGTTTAGGACGATGATGTTGATTTACGCCGGAGGTGTTGTTGTCACGACTCTGATCACTATACCTAATTGGCCTTGCTTTAATCGTCATCCTCTTAAGTGGTTAGATCCAAGTGAAGCTGAGAAGCATCCTAAACCCCAAGTTGTTGTTGTTAGCTCGAAGAAGAAATCGTCTAAAAAGTAGTGTCTTCTTAATCTTCTCTTCTTTAGTGGCTTGAACTTGATGATATAATGACATTGTTCTGGTTCGTGAGCTTTAATAAAGTCTAAATGAAATAACTTTGATTGATTCTTGTCATTACTTTTGATTCTGTGTTACTCATTAGAAGAATTTTGAGATATCTATGCATTTCTTGGAGTTGGATCATAAAAGGTGTTACCTTTGAGATTTGAACTGGTTCTTGAGACATTCTTTAGTGTTTTAAGAAGAGAGTTTGTTTAAACGTTAAATGTAAGAAGAGGTAAAACCCTGTTCGAATTCAAACAAAAATCATGCAAAAATAACGAAAGATTGAGCAGATTAACTTCACATATAGCAAAGCTCGAAAAATGTACATTCGAGTCTCTGTAGTAATGCTTGAAATCGATCACAATAGCAAAGAGCAATCTGAATCGTTGTTGGTAGTTGACCAATGTAAAGAGCGATATCTATGAGCCATTAGACAATAGAACAAGCTAGAGGAGAGTGACGAGAATGAAAATGAGTAGTGCAGCGATAAATGAATACTTGAGAGCAGCGACAAGGATGGCGAAAGAGATGAAGAAAAGCTGAGACAAGACTTGAAGGCTAGCCCAAGTCAATACTCCAGCTAATCCAACAGCCACAAAGTTATCTTGATCTGGATTCAACAGCTCACCCCACTTGAAACTAAAACCAGCAAATTGGTCTTTCTTGGTACCATTACCATCATCATCGTTACTAACCGGTCTGTTTCCGCCACCGGAAGACTCCTTCGCCGAGTCGCTGCTGCCGCCATTTTGAGCATTTGTTCTGAAGATTAACGGGGATTTGCAGACATGAATATGATGATGATGTTGCGGAATGTTGTATGAAAAACGAGGTTTTAATGTTATAGGCACAAAAGGTCTCAATGTTAGCATCGTGGATCAGGGGATTTTCAAATCAAGGATTTTTCTGGGTTTCTTGGAGTTAAATCCATCTGCAATTGACAAACAGATGCCAATATATGAATATATATATATATATATATATATATCCAGAAGATCGAAGCTTATCAAACTAATAATCGAAGGAACTCAAATTCAAATACCAATCATAGTCGAATTGAAATTGTCCAAATCATTAAACTTTAATCGGAACTAAAACCAAACACGAACTTAATAGCAATCGAAAGTCTTGCAAACTAACCTCGAAATCTCCATGTTTCTTCCTCCTTTCCACTAAGTGATATGGGAAAGGGAATAAAAGGCAGAGACACGTGGATGGCTGTGATTAAGACGTGAAGCAACGGTCAGGATTAAAACATGAAGAATATCTCTGCGTTAAAAGGTGGAAGCTGAGGACCGACTGTTAGTGAGATTGTAGGCAGCATGGAGGTGGATTATTCAATTCTCACTTCATAAACCTTATTAAAACATTTTTACGTTACATATAATATTGACATTGCAGATTCTGAAATATGACTTGTAACAGTTTTTGAAATGTATCGTAGGAGAGAGGAATCAACATGCTTATCATGAGTATATTATCACTGGCTTATGTTAGTATATGGCTTATGTTAATAATATGAGATAAGCGTATGTTAGCATAAGTTTAGACTTGTATATAAACAGAACTATACTGTACAGAATTAATTAATGAGAATATCTGATTACATTGTTGACTCTTCTTTTCTCTCTTTAGCTCGAGTTTGTTAACAATGGAGAAGAGTTTGTTAATGTTTTTTGTGCTTCAGTGCTTGGTGGTAACGGAACTCATGCTGGTGCCAATGCTATACACAATGAGGTGGTTACTTAAGAAGGATGAAGGTAGCTGTGGTTGGTGTCCCTAAAACCATTGATAATGATATACTCCCTCCGTTTCAAAATATAAGGCGTTTTAGCTAAAAGCACGCCGATTAATAAGATCTACTTTTAAAAGTTCAACCAATCATAAAAAAGACTGCATAATAAAAATAATCATAAAATATTAAAATAATATATAATTTGCATAGAAACTTGAAAACGACTTATATTTTGAAACAAAACAGTTTCTCCAAAACATCTTATATTTTGAAACGGAGGGAGTATTATATATGGAAAACTTTTGGATTTGACACTGCTGAGTGCTGTTGAAGAAGCACAACGAGCAATAAACTCTGCATACATCGAGGTACTTAAAAAAAACCATCTCTTTATTCCCTAGTTCTAACACATTTCATTTTCTCTCATTAAAAAATCTTTAAAATTGAATAAGTGGCGGACCAAAAGCCTTTATTCTGTTCTAGAAACATTTCATTGCCTCCCGGAAAAGCTCCATTTCAAAGAGAGTAATCGTCATGGGATTGTTTCTTTCTTTTGCCTATGTATTTTCACTTAGAATAACGCAAATGCAAAATTATAAGGAAATACTTTTTTTTTTTTTTAAATCACCACATCTATTGATTTTTTTTTTTTTAATAAAGTTTTATTTTGACATATGCTATAGGTTTGTGTTTATCACTACACCTTTTTAAACTTTCCTGTATATTTTTGATAAGTCGTTTAAAAAAAAAAGAGAGAGATCGTAGACACAAAATTGAGCCCATAGTTTTGGATAATTCAATGAACCAAACCCAAATTGTGTCAGACTTGTTCCCCCCACCCACAAGCCTTTTTCCCACTCTTCTGCGTTGCCAACAGAAACAAATTAATACTAATGTTTTAGTAATATCTCAAATAAGATATATGGGATTAAATAAGCCATCCGTATAATTTTATATCTTATCCAACCGAATTTTTAGTTTGATCAGGAAAATTACTTTGATTTCATTCATCAACAAACAAATCATAGTTTATCATTTTGTCATCAAATCTTCTGTGACGTAACTTATGACGATTTTCAGAGGATGTTGCATTTTTATAATTTATTTTTTTAATTGCATCTTACGTACAGTATCTGCTTTTAGCTGTTTATTATTTTCTCTGAATTTTTAAGTTTGAAAATAAAAACACCCTTAGTAAAATAAATAAGGTTAAGCATTACCAAATTATAAACCCATACGGCGACGTATCATAGATTCCACCACTTCGTCTAAGCCGAGCCGAGCCATATAACTCTTGTTGAAACTTAACCCAAGTTACATTTTAACCCTTTCTCTTAACCCAAGTTTGGTTTATTTAAAGAAAGAGAAAGTGTGAAACCAACTTGCTCATATTGAAAACAAAGAACCATTGCTCTCTAGATTAAAAGCTTCTCTCTCTCTTTTGGACTTTCTCAATCCATATCTCTCTCTTTGTTTTTCTAATTTAAAGTCTCCTCTTTCTGTTTATGAGATTTCAAGCGAAGAAGCTCAATTATGTTTACAACATTGTTCTAATTTCAAAACTTCATAAGAATTTCTCTGATAATAAAGAATAAGAGTTGAAATTTTGTTGGTGTCATCATGAAGAGACTAAGCAGCTCAGATTCAATGTGTGGTCTAATCTCCACTTCTACAGGTTCTTATTACCATTTTTTTTGTTCTTTATACTTTTTGCTAATTTCAGACAAAACCCATGTGATTCCTTTCTTCACTTTCTACTGTTTCTTTTATTGACAAGACTCATTTGGTTACAACAACAGAGGAACAGAGTCCAAGAGGGTACGGAAGTAATTACCAATCTATGCTTGAAGGTTACGATGAAGATACTACACTAATGGAGGAATATTCCGGCAACCACCACCACATGGGTCTATCGGAGAAGAAGAGAAGATTAAAAGTTGACCAAGTCAAAGCTCTTGAGAAGAATTTCGAACTTGAGAACAAACTCGAGCCCGAGAGGAAAACGAAACTAGCACAAGAGCTTGGACTTCAACCTCGTCAAGTAGCGGTTTGGTTTCAGAACCGTCGTGCACGGTGGAAAACAAAACAGCTTGAGAAAGATTACGGCGTTCTTAAGAGCCAATACGATTCTCTCCGCCACAATTTCGATTCTCTCCGCCGTGACAACGATTGTCTTCTCCAAGAGGTAACATTTTAGAGATTGAAGCCATAAAAATCGAAACTTTAGAGACGAAAATGCAAAAAGGTTTGATTTTTTGAAGTTTTTAACTGCAGATTAGTAAAATCAAAGCTAAGATAAACGGAGAAGAAGATAACAACAACAACAACAACAACAACAACAAAGTTGCGACGGAGAGCGTTAAGGAAGAAGAATTTCACAAGACGAATTCAATTCCGTCGTCTCCTCTGCAGTTTCTAGAACATTCCTCTGGTTTTAACTACCGGCGAAGCTTCACCGACCTCCGTGACCTTCTACCGAATTCCACCGTTGTCGAGGCTGGATCTTCCGATAGTTGCGATTCAAGCGCTGTTCTTAACGACGAAACGAGCTCCGACAACGGAAGATTGACGCCGCCCGTGACGGTAACCGGCGGGAGTTTCTTACAGTTTGTGAAAACGGAGCAAACAGAGGATCACGACGATTTTCTAAGCGGTGAAGAAGCTTGTGGTTTCTTCTCCGATGAACAACCTCCGTCACTTCATTGGTACTCTGCTTCGGATCATTGGACTTGAGAGATTGAATGATCTAAGTTGTGCTCTGTTTTACTCTATGTGGAAAAACAGAACAGAGGGCAAAAGTGGAATTATCAATAAATAAGGATTATTAAATTAACTCAGCGGGAGAAGTTAATTTGGGTTTAAGATTGTAATGGCTCTTAGTGTAATTAACGATCGAGAGGGGCTTTCACAGAAATAGGAGTTAATATGGGGACGCTGATGAAAGCAATAAAACTACGTTTGCCCCCTCAAGTCCAAATTGTATTCCAAATGTTACCTCTAAACATTCCACTTGACTAATATAACCTATCTTATCAAATACTAAAAGGATAAAATATAAGATTTTGTTTGTAATTCAAAGTGTGATATTTGATGTAGTTTTCATTTTTCAAATGGATGAAATAGTTTACTCATTAAGCTCGATCATGATATAATAACAATTATGAAAATTAATTTTTTTTGTTTGATTGTGTTAGTTGCTTGTTAATTAACACACCATCTATTAAAATCAACATGATATAATAACATTCAACAAAATTATAATATCCAATAGTTTTGTGTTATAAAGGTATATTTTTAACTATTAAAATGATTAATTTTTTCATTAATAAACATGTGATTTATAATTTTGAGATCAATTTTATATGCATTTTCTATTTTAGGACACCCCTTTGTGAAAGAAAAAAATATATACAAACATATATCATTATTCAATTTATATTTTTCGTAGAAAAACATAGGGGTAAAATATAAAGTTTTAAAGGAATAGAGGGAGTGAACATGGAAAAAAGAGGAAAGAATAGACGTGAGGTTAATTTTCTACGTAAACGCAGCTTTTTCTTCCCGCACCTGTAACATCTCTTCTTTTTCATAATCCCCACGATCACGACATCTCTCTCTTTCTTTCTTCTTTCTTCTTTTGTAAATTAATTTTTTCTTTTCAACACCAAATTCACCAGTGAAAAAGACATTGAACTAGTGATCACGACAAAACACAAATTCATCTTTATCATTTAATTGTTTGTATTTGGATCGAGATAAATCTAATGTTACAATCACATAAAATTTACCCATGTGAAAGGGAAAAAACAAAACAATAAATCACTTTTAAGAAATGGTGGAAATCTGTTGATTTTCGTGAAAAGTTTTTTGCCCTCGATCGGCTATAAAATTTGCTTTTGGTGAAAGACAATAAAGTAATAATAAAGGCGATAAATTAGAGATATAGGATTGGCTTGTAAGAAAATGCTATCATCATCAATCATCAAGGTGCTTTTGTTACCATGATTGTGCGTACATGTTTCAGTGGAAGCATGGGACATCGTTTTTAGTGAATGATGAAAACATTCTGTCAGAAACTTTTACCATTGTCACGGATCGTATCTGAAATTGAGGCATTCAAATCACAGCATGACGCCAAAAAACATTACTATTATTAATATTTGACCCCTTTGATCCTCTTCTACGTACTACTAGTATTTTATATAGTACTTTCTCTGTTTCTAAAAGATTGATTTTCTAAAGATTTAACATATTTTAAGAAACAATCATTGTTTAATTATTTATTTTTATCAAACATTTTTAATAAACTATGAACCAATAGTATTCTGAAACAGTTAATCATTACGTCTTGAAATCTACGATTTATTAATATCAATTAACTAAAAATAAAGAAAAAATATAGAAAATCAATTTTTGTGGAACAAACCCAAAACACTAGAACATCAAACTTCTAGGAACAGAGGGAGTATCTTTTATATACTTGCTCTAACCTTTTTTTTTATAAACTATATATACTGAGTTATGAATGTTTTGTAAGCTGATTAACTGCATCAAAATCTATACATTAATCTGAAATGTAAAACGTTAGTGATAATGGATACCAAACTCTTCTAAAAAGTAGATGAATCTTAATCAAATGACCTTATACAATTAAATTCCATTTGAAAATATGGTTCTATACATAGCACTCGAAATAGAAATTTATGATCATTTATAAGGGAAAAAAGTAATTTAACATTTAGTTGTACTATATTTATTTAACAATTTTTTTCTTTGTACTGCCAAATGGCACAGAAAAGTAAGGGACCTACATTGTAATTTCCTTATTTTCTTTATACGAAGCTGCGAAAAGGGGGCCCACACACCCATGTGATTGTGGGGCCAAACGATGCATCGATGAAGATGTCGTTTTCGTCATTTGCCATTTGTCACTATCGCCGAAATAAAAATTTAAAAATAATGAGAAAATCAGAAAAAATTCGACCCGTGTACAGTGCTTCTCTTCTTAGCCCTCCGATTCACGACATCTCATCTGTTTCCACCTATCACAGCCGTCTATTTCACTACCTCCTTATGTGACCACTCATATGTCGACACGTTGGACGACTTAAGATGGAGAGTCGGTTTGGTTTAGTTAGAGAGGTTCACCGGTCGGTACAAGGCTGATGTTTTTCGAATTTGTCGGTTTAGAATTTTAGTAATTAACTCTAGTGCGACTTATGAAACTTAGTAAATTTACATTAATGATGTCTATTTCACCTCTCAAAACTTAATGTACATTAACAACTTCTGCACCAATTTGGTTTGATTAATTAGTATATGCGAACATTTGTGTTGTGTGCTTCACTTTCTCTTAGCAAAGATCACAATGATTTTAACTTTTAAGAATCTTCGCAAATCCTTTAATTATATCTATACTTTGAAATCATTAATGCTTTTGTTGGTGGTTCGTATCGTGCCTGATATAAAAACTATATAATCATGTGAACAACATATATATACGAAGTACATAAGTTATATATACAAATGAAGGGAGATGGAAATATCCTACAATTAGAAATTAGCAAACACAAAAAAAAAAATTCGTCGAGGAGAAAGAGTTATTATTATAGTAATTGACACTAACGAATTTGATTATTTAGAAGAGAGACAATATAGAGCAAAATGATATTCAAATAGTTGTAAATATTCAACACCTTCATAGTTCAAAATCTGATTAAAACATTTTATTTTCTATAAAGCTATCGGCGTATGTGTATAATCATGAATATTATTTGCTACAGGATTAACTGGACTAAACAAAAAGCATAGGTTTCTTTATTGAAAAAGAGGTTACCACAAAAGAATTGATCATGTTATGTGTAGCTGCTACAAAGACTTTTAGTGTCCCTTTTAAACCCTAGACTACTTTTTTATTCTATTGCGTATGAGTATGAAGACAATCGAGTTCTATTTTTTATTTCAATAATATGAATGATACTCCAGTTTTTTTAATTAAAATAAAGAATATAATCGTCTTTTTTAATCTCGAGAGGTTATGTTTTTCAACGCTCTCGTGTATCCCGGGGCCCCCTTGTAGAAATTTCAAATATGCTTTGATGGTGAGAGGCTATTATATTTTTCTATACAAATATAAATAAACACGCAAATGGGTGTATAAAGTATAAACAATGAAGATAATTTGTCATTAAATAATTACAAGGTGTGTTCATTTAGAAAGGTCCCTCTCAAGTCTTTAATTCTGGAAATTCTTATAATACTCTCAATTGGGAAATATTTAATTAGTTGATGTGATCCTCAAATAGAATTAAAACATTTTATTAACATCACACCAACGCAAAACTTGGTAAATATTTGTGACATTTTACGATTTTAGTTCAAAGCTAAAAAGAAAAAGATTGTTAGTTGCTACTTGCTAACTTGCTAAAACCTCTTTATTATTATTAACTTTTGGTAAGTAATTTTGGTAAATGTTTACATTGGCATGGGAGTGCTTAAACTTCTTTCTTGTTATTTTTGTTCCAAAGTTAGTTTCCTTCCTAAACTCTGTCCCAAGTTCCCAACTAAAAAATCGGGTTAAAAAGTGAAAGAGTAGTCTCGCACATAATCATATATGTTATGTACGTGTATCCCAACATATGAAAGCTGCCATTGTTTTATTCCTATAATTCCTTGTAACTTTATTTGTTAAGAAAGATGGTCACTTAAACATTAGAAATCACTCTCTTACGTGACTATGGATTAATTAATTAGTAATTAAAATTAAAAATATAGTAATATAGACAAATGTTAAATACAGAAGAATAGTGATAAATTAAAAATGAATATAGTAATTAGCAAAAAGATTCGAATACGATTTAGGATTTAGGAGACAGCTTATATATGCTACGGCTTGCGCGCGGCCGCTTAAGCGAGAGAGACAGAGCAATAGGCTTTTATCAAAACGACGACACTTTGTCTTGTCTAAAGACGATATGACACGCGTCCGTTAGCTACTGGTCCTAACTCATAAAAATAAAAGAAATTTTCACGTTTAACATGAAAAAAAGATTTTCTCTCAGTATTTGGCAAAGTGAGATTTGGTTCTCACATTTTGACAATTAAGCCAAAATCTGACGAAAATACCCCTAATAACTTAAACCAAATGACACAATTGGTTTCGGTTTAGTTACTTTTTCTTTGTTTTACGGTTTGGTTTTGAATTAAAAAAAAAAAAATTCTTGCCCAGAAACCTAAAAGAAAACGAAGAAGAAGAACGAGAGAGATCACAAATCGTCATCAACTTCAAAAACCCATTTTCTGGGGTTTTGTTTCTTGTTGTCGGATCTTCAGATGCTGGAGAAAGGAATGATTTTGCCTCCGGTACCGAGCCAATTGGTGCTTTTACGGCCAAACCCTTTGCTTCAATGGCGGCTTGGTGCTCTTACAGCACTCGTCTTCTTCCTCATGTTAGTCGTTTGGAGTATTGACGGTTGTTCGATTCAAAGCTTCGTTGAGCCATGGAGATTCAATGCATACTCTGTTCGAATCAGTCCTTCTCCGTCGCCTTTAATGTCACCAAAACCCAAACTTCAAAAACCCACCAAATCGTCATCGTTTTTTAGTCGCCGGCGTCGTCATCGTCGAAGCTTCTTCTTTAGCCGGAGAATCTCTCTGGCCAACTTTTGTCATTATCTCTTTCGCTGTCAGATTCAATTTTAACACTCTGTCTTTCTTTACTAAAAAGGAACAAAATTTTTGATATATACAGAGAGAGAGCTCTCTAAATCCGATTCATGTTTTGATTTGGGTATATTCTCTCTTACTTAGGGCTTGAATGGCAGTCCGGTACGGCTCCGGTGCGGCGACCCTAATCACGGGGTCACCGGCGAATGGTAGTCCGGTTTCAGTCACCACACAATCACCTTCGTCGTCACCATCATCTTCTCCGTCGACGTCATCTCTGTTGGCGTCTTCTCCTTTATTGTTGTTGATTTCAAAGGAATTATGCTAAATTATGTAGTTTCGGTTAGCAATCA